ATGCTCCTAGGAATTTATTTTAAGGATATTATCAGATGCTGCACAAGGACATCTATTCCAGCATTATTTATAATAGTAGAATTTTCAAGCAATGTAATTGTCTAACAAGATGGAATGGATTAAGTAAATTATAGGCCATTAATCTCATGGAACGTTTTGCAGCCCATAAAAAAAATCATGTTATAAGAAAATACTTGTTGACATGAGAAAATGCTCTTGATAATTTGTTACATGAAAAAATAGGGTAGAAAAGCTAGTTTGATAAATGTTGCTATTATTTTGACATACTTACATGCCTGGGGGCGGGAGGGGGAAGCACTCAGAGGGTCTGCAACAGGAACGTGACCTGCAGTCCTCTGCATCCTGGAATCACAGCTGTTTCTGGTTTGCTCTGGTTTGCGTGTGCTCTTCTCCTAAGGGTTCAATTGAGAAGAGGAAGAGGTAGTTCCTGACAGGTCTGGATGGGAGCTGGACTAACTTTAAAAGCTGGACCCTGGTGTCTCCTCAGGAGCATAAAACATTTTACAACAAACAATGAGATATGACCTTCATCTGAAGGCCATGACACAGCAAAACAAACACAGGACTGTTTTGTAAACATGTCTGAGCACAGACCCAAAAGAAGAACACTGTGCAGACGAGCATTGTTACTATGATGTTACAATCCAAGTATTTCCCTTCTCCCATTTCTTGACAGCCTACTCAACAGATCCATCACCTAATCCAAGCCCAATCTTAGAACAGGTTCACATGATGCCCGGTTACAAAGAGGTCTTCAGGCTCCAAATGGCTTGTCTCCATGCAGCACGGTCAATAAATGTAGATTAGCTACAGGTGTGTTCCTGGTGGGCTTTGGCCAATGATGGATGTTGACTAAAGTCTTCTGCATGCCACTTATGAAATTAGAGAAAAAATGTGTTACTTTGAATGATCTCCATATATTAATCTCTCAAGTGATTCTCAAAGAAAATGGAAAGAGATGGACCCTAAGCTGCCACGGGCTTCTTTTGTTTTCAACCAAACCATTTTCCAACTGACCACATCAAACTAGCTCTTTATGTGCTGTTCGCTTAAGGAATAATTGAAGGTGTTTCAGGCAGAGATTCTTAACAGCCTTGTCATGACATGTGGGCTGGATAATTTTCTGTTGCCAGGGACTCTCCTGTGCATTATAGGGTGGTTATCAGCATCAGAGATCTCTGCCCACTTGAAGTGACTAGTATTCCCCTGTGGTAACAACCACAAACATCTCCAGACATTTTCCCTTATTTGGGAGCAAAATCACCGCTGGTAGAAAGCCACTGATAAAAGAAAGGGAAAATGGAAAAATGAAAGAACTCAAGTCGATTATTAGAAATTCTGAGGTTGGTTCTACTTCTGTCTTCCTGGGTTATGGATTTTTCATCCTCGGAATTGGAGACAGTACTTCTTGAAATACAAACTGCCTTTGAATGAAGCTAAAGAGTTAACAATGTAATCGATAAATATTCAGCTAGTTCCTGGTGAGTGGTCTATATACAAGTATATAAAGGATTCCAACAGTAAAGGCACTAAACTATAATACTAACTATGTAAAAACAGATAAATGACAAAATAGAGCAATTATAAAAAAAACAAACCATTGCCATAAGTTGAACTTGACTCAAAGTGACCCTGTAAGATAGAACAGAACTACTCCTTAGAGTTTTTAAGACTGTAAGTCTTTATGGGAACAGGCAGCCTCATCATTCTCCCACAAAGTGGCCTATGGGTTAGACACTTGCTGTTGGCAGCTCAGTGTTTAATTCAGTGTGACAACTGGGCTCCTTGGAGCCATTCTGAATGATTAAAAAAGAAACAGCAACAACAGCATAGATTGCTTTAGAAATAGTCCCAAAATTGGATGAACAATCTGGAGGAGAAAACAATGGGACCGAGAGTTCTAGGGGGACATGGGAGAGGGGGAAGTGGGGGGAAAGGTAGTGGTGTTAACAAACCCAGGGACAGGGAAAAACAACAAGCGATCCAAATCGGTGGTGAGGAGGGTGTAGGAGGCCTGATATGGCGTGATCAAGGGTAATGAAACCAAGAGGAATTACTGAAACCTAAATGAAGACTGAGGATGATAGTGGGACAAGAGGAAAGTCAAAGGAATTAGAGAAAAGAGCTAGGAGGCAAAGGGCATTTTAGAGGTTTAAATAAAGGCATGTACATTTGCAAATATATTTATATATGAGGATGTGGAAATATATCTATGTGCCTATATTTATAGGTTTAGTATTAAGGTAGCAGAAGGACATTGGGCCTCCCCTCAAGTACTCCCTCAATGCAAGATTACTTTCTTCTATTGAATTGAAATTCTATGATGCTCACCTTCCCGACACAACC